CGATCCCTGACTCCACAGCCTGACGGTTGTATCGGCCGAGGAGGAGGCCAGAATGTTCGAGACGGGGCTCCACGCCACACACCAAACCCGCCCTTGATGGCCCTCCAGGGTCGCGACGTGGGCCGTGCGGAGGGTCGCGGGGGCCGTGGAGGACCACCCCGCGGGGTGGGGAACTGACTGTGCTTCGGAAACCATTTGGATTACACTACGGAAGGCATAAAATGAGATCAAATGGTAAACAGGGTCTAAACAACCACATCATTAAAACAATACAAAAGTGGAAAATACATTTTAATAAAAACAGCAGTCGCTAAATAGGGTTAATGACTTCTTTTTATAGCTCTTCCTTTTTGTCATGTACGGATTAAAAGAGGGTTTAAGATATTTAAACGTAACTAGATAGGATTAAACTTAATTCAATGGACTTCATCGACTTCCATGGTAAAACTACTTACTAAATGAAGTCCTAAATTATTCTTCTTAATAGTTTCACTTTGAAGTTACTACCCAATTCAATTTAAAAAAAATATTGACAGTAATTTAGTCCTCATCACTATCAGGAAACTGGTAGGAGCGCACTGAAAAATCTACGCCTACGCCGTAGAACTTTCCTTTGTTTTTTTGCTTCAGTTTGTTAAAGTTCTTCCCCTTTACTCGCATCATCTCCTGATTTTGTTTCAAGACCATATGTTCAGATCCAGGACGATTATCGCGCAGAACCTCTGCATGAAATTCTACTTTAGTTGGATCTATTCGTTGAAAGCGGCGATAAGATCCATCTTCCGTACCCTTTAAAGGAACACTGTGGGCTTGGTTGTTGTTGGTCATCTGGCGTTGCGTATTGCTGACAGATTTCCTATCTGTCTCCGAAACATTTCTCGACACTCCCTTAGGAGCTTTTATGGAAACAGACGCCTCCGAATCAGAACTATCTAACATGGGTGCTTTCTTGGATTCTACATGTGGCACTTTGGAAGGAGCTTCTTTTAGACCACGATGAAGCGATCCAGAATTGCTGGATACACTATTATCGCGCTTTCGTTTTGGATTGGAGTTACATATGAGTACCTCAAGATTGCTTTGCTTAAATAAGTGTTCCCTTTTTGCCTCATCGATTAACGCGGAGTCCTTCTTAAAAGCTTTAGCAACTGCTGGATAATGCTGAACAAAATATTCCTTGATTAAGGCATTGATGGCAGAAGAGGCCATTGGTATTATAATTTACCCCTACACACCTACGTGCCTAATCCCTGATTACCTGATGAGTTAAAGACGGTGGTTCAAGTCTCTATTTATGTAGTGGTACAACATAAAAAGGCATGACATGGTAAAATGGATTCATATATAATGGAGAAAGAGGGGGAAAAAGATAGGATAGAAGAAACAAGTTTTGGGGGGCGATACAACAGGTTTTAATACGAGTCAAAGTATCGACAAGGAAAAACAGACCTCTAGAACTGAATTTTCCTCTAAGCCCGGGAAAAATTACAATGGTTGAGACAATAAATGATGAAAACTTCCCAAATTTTATCTGGATAATAAGAAGTTACGGTTTGTAATAATATATACACAAAAAATATGCAAGTTAGGTAGTCAACTAAAAATAGTTACTTGCCATGTTGTTGACATAACTGTTAATATAAAGAAATTAGTTAAGCATATGTGATACATGTCACATAAGTTCCCTTTTTAGAAAGTGAAAAAAAAATGAAACAGCAGAAACAAACCCAGTGCTATATTTTGACACAACAAAAGGGAAAAAAAAATTAGCTCAGTTTAGTGTTAGGAAACCCCATATCATCTACTTTGCCCTCAGCCCAGAAGGAAAGAAGGTTATATGTGGCTGTAAAGACAGGCGGCAGAGCGAATTCATGTGAGCCTCTGATAGCCTTTAGAACACTTTCTTTGGATACCCATGCAACGCTGAGAAGTTCATCTTGGTCGGCCTTCAGTATGGGACTGTTGTCTGCCACAGCGTAGAAGCATCCCATAAGTTGTGAAGGAAAGGGCCATGGTTGCGAGCCCGCATAACGCAGTTTCGAAATAACGACATTGGACTCTTCAAATACTTCCCGAGAAACTGCATCTTCCAGTGACTCTCCCTGCGAAACATGGCCTGCAAGAATGGTTAATATGGGTTTATTTCCAGGCTCTTTTATAAACTGTTTTCTTCGTTGTGATAAGAGAACATTGCCTCTTCCGTCAAGCACAGCCACAATTATCGCTGGTGTGATCTGAGGATAATGCACGGCGCTGCAAGATGAACACCGCAAATAGGCGCCCAAATCACAAAGTTGGTTAGTTCCACCGCATTGAGGGCAAAATTTAAATGAAGTCAGCCAATGATACATAGACATCGACGGACTCAGCAACGATAACTCGTTTTCGTCAAGATAATTAAAGAGAACACGGGCGTTTACCCAGCTACCGGATGCCAGGTAGTCTGGTTTTACGTCTTCTAGATTTGTTATGAAGAGATTATATTGTTCTTTCTCATTTTCTCCAACGTAGATTGGACGAGAAAGATTAATCACAGTCTCCTGTGTCTTTAGTTTGATAGGATGTAACCACTTTCTTTCCTTTCCCGTGACAAATATTTCAGAACCATCAACCTTATAGACCACAGCATGGGGATTCGCGGCAGGTGATAACTTGGATTTTAAAAAGCCATCCATTTTTCGATCCTTTTCGTGCGTATTTAATGGGGAACATTTTAAGGGAAATTTCAAAAACCCTTTGCCTAAAATTGATTTTTTCATCGATTCTGTAGTTATGGTATTTAAACTATTATTTCCATTGAGCAATTCTCAACAATAAAACCAGATGAAATAAAGTTAACCTGTTACAAATTAACTAAAAGCATTCGAACAATTAATATAGATTGCTTCCCATTCCTAATAGTTGCCAGTGTATGCCTATTAGTGGTTATATAATGTTTATTTAATTTAAATACATCAAAGGGATACCTTTGAAAAGGATTGTAAGACTACTAGCAATATAACATCACACAATATTGTGTGGAATATATATAGCACTAAGCAAGATTGAAAATAAACTGCCGCGTTTTTATTTTCTTGACGTTAACGCAGTGTTTATTCATGGAATTTTAGGAGGGTAAATTATAGCGACAGCAACATGTCAACTGAAGAAAATATATAGAGCGTATGCGACAATGTCTAGATATACTTTTCATCGTCCTTCTATGCTTAAGTAGAAAGCAATAAACAAAAAGAGAGGCTTTGAATACATTAAAGGGATAAAGGTATAAAAACTTATCCTAGGAGCCAAGTGTACAATGTGAAAGGAGAAAACGCGTTTAGTGTATAATTTTGAGAAATGAGATCATGTCTGGTAACACACTTTAGTCAGTACAAATTTTTCACCTCGGTGGAAACAAAAAATGATAATATCACCAGCCTGTGAAAAAAATGGACATCCATGCGCTTGGTGATACGGAGCAGAAATTTTTATTCACCACTTATGGTGATCTGTGCACTTGCCAAAGTTACTAATTTAGTTAATGCGGCATCAAATATTGATTGCTAGTGACCTGATTGAACATTTTTTTTTATTATTAATTTGCAATTATTTTGAATCATTTTCAATTCTCAGTCTTGTCTTTATGACCTTAGTTAAGATAATGTGAAAACAGCACAAATATTGAGAGTAGTGAGATTCTAGATACAAAAATAAATAAATATATATATATAGATATATATATATATGTGCATATATCTCACTGGTTCAAGGCGATAATATTTCGAAAAATGAAGTCTGCCTGAAAGGCTGACCCTTCAGTGTGTCATAGACCATTCATATAACATGCCATTGGATTCGGTTATGCATAGTTGCACAGCTTGAGGCGTACACTGAAAAACAGTTGCGTCTAGAATGTCCCCATCCGTAGCTTGAACAGATCCTAAAGTTTCAAGTGAAACCACATCGAGTACGCCAACTTGGTTTCGCGTGACAAGAAGAGCAACATTGTCTTTACTATGTGATCTGACTGATACAGCAGCACCAAAACCTCGTCGCAGCAGAGGCTCCGCCATTTTCCGACGATCGAACACAAGAAGTTCCTCTGATTTCGTCGAGCACACCAAATACTGCCCTCCAGATATTCCCCCACTGCAAATCTGATCTTGCTCTATATAACGCTGTACCCAAGGTTTCTTCTCATTTCGCTTATCTATGGTGTATATTCCGCCTTCATGGAAAACAATGGCAGTCGATCCCGTTGCACTCATGATATTACAATTTCCAACTGAGGGCAATTCTACACTAAAGTCCGTTTTTGTTGTTGTTTCAGAAAACAAGTGCTCGATATTAAGCGAAAAGACAGTGAGAGGATCATCGCTGCCTGCGCACCACACCCAATCGCTATACGTGAATGAAAGGGACTGGATTCCCTTAACCACTATGTGATTCGCGTTCAAGGAGAACTGTCGTGGTTGATGATAAAAACTTGCAGAAAAGCTGCTTGTATGGGTTCGGAACGCTATTCCTGTAACCTGTTTCCACTGGTCGATATTACGGAAAAACTTTTGGCTTTCGTTCTTCAGTTCTAGAAACTTACTCCGCGTTGAAAGTAATTGTTCAAATGAAGAACAGGATTTCCTTTTCAAAATATCAAGACCTAACAGTCGCCATGCAAGAGATTCCTTCACTCCAGAATGCCTTACCATGGCCACTGCCTTTATTTCATTTGCCGAGTCTAATCGGTCCCCAAAACGTACAATTGGAAAGGGTGACTGATAACCCAGACAGGCATTGAAAATGCAACCATATGTGTCAGAGAATGTGTCGCAATCATTTAAGGACACCATCATAGATGGCATTCGCTCACTACTTGTAAAGTCACCCCAGTTGAATAAATGGGGAAAAAATATTATTAGAGGTAAAAAAGAAAATGAGGAAAAATATTAGTAATCATTTACAATTTCAATCAAGAGAATGACACTTTTCATACTAGATAATACTAGCCATATTGGCATATAATCCTGAAATATTGGCCTTTCGAATGAAGCCTAAATAATAAAAGAGAACATCAGTTCAATGGTCAATATTAAATGCGACTAGGATACAAATACACACGAATGCGGCGACCAATGGCAGATGCGGGGACCGACCCGCCATTGAACTTAACGCGCACCATCCCTGAGCTACCGTGCGGACGAGTCACGCGTCCCCAGAGGGCGCGCGTGTTGCTGCGTCGGGCCGGGGCCTTGCTCCAGCGCACACACCGCTTCATCGTGTAGCCATGGTAGACGTAGCACACGCGCTTGCCGACGTACCACTCCGCGTCGCTACGGACGTTGACGTTGTCGACGCGCACTAAAGCCGTTTTCTTGACCTGCCCGTGAAGGCCACGGGTGTAACCGGCCAACGTTCCCTTCATGTACAGACGGGGGGACTTGCGGTTGCGGTTCACCGTGCTCGTCTTCTTCAGGAGCTGGTGTAGCTTCTTGCTGCGATCAGCATGAATCTTTGATGTCGCCATCCTTGACCTATATGCCGTGAAGAAAAAACGAGATAAAATGGAAGAAACAAAAAGAAGAAACATACACACTAATTCGCATGAGCAAACGTAGAAAAAGAAACAAAATTTATGGATGTTGTTTTCTAGGTCGTTTTATATTTTATACTAGATGAAAATGAGAAGACATGATATATAATGCTCTATAAAAAGGTTATCTATATCGTATAAATAAATAGGCATATTTATTTATTTGACATGTGCAAAGGATTGAAACACACCAAGATTACCCACATCATTATAGATTTCCTCGTGCAACTCCTCGGGGAAACGTCTTCTTCCATCTCTATCGCAGCAACTAATGCATTTCCATCCATTGAGTACATTGCAACACCACAAGAAGGTCTGCCTAACATTCTTCTTATATGTGTCACTGGCTGTTTCATGAATGTCCAAGTACTTGCGCATCAGGTCACCCTGCATGGCTTTCATAGCGATTAAGGGTTGTAAATCTAAATAAAAAACTCTTTTGGCTGGTGGCAGGGTTAACCAATTTACCTCTAAGGCCTCCAGGTGCTGAATAAAACCTATTCTCTTGTCTTCAGGTAACTTAGCGGCCTGATGCCCAAAGTTTGCAGTATAATAGCGGTCACACACAACTACCTGTCTATGCTGCATCCAGAGTCTTAGCTCCGGCAAACATCCATATCGATTGAGCGAGTAGATGAAGCTAAAGAGTTTTGGGTCTAAATCTGAAATCCCACCTTTCTTACCAGAAAGAATGGCTCGTATCAGCCCACCGTAGGGTGCATTTTCACGTGGGAAGTCTAGTGTTTGCACTGAAACATTCTTGGCCCTTAAATGCTCAAGCAAGAGCTTGGTTTGTGTCTGCTTTCCAGCTCCATCACCACCCTCCAGTACAAGGACACCATTCTCACAATCGCACTTCTGAGGAAAGAAAAGATCTAAGAGTTCATCAAGCGAAGTCGAGATGTGCTCTTGACCGTTTGAAGATAGATTTGCAGGTGAAAATAATAGTGAAGAAAGCCCAACTTCACACGGTTTGAGGGTAAGCACTGGGATGCGGGCGCAGAAAAGTGCGTAGCTGACATCCGCGTCGGCTGGAGTTTTTGTCTCAGTTATATAGCACACAAAATGGCCACTTGAGGGGCGTATAGCCACATTATGCCAGGCAGTAATCAGGCCACATTCGTTGCAGGGCTGAATCTGAATGAACTCAAAGTACTTATATGCACCTTTACGAACTGAAAGCTCAAATTCCTTAAACAAGGTGTCAATAAAAATTGTTGCTCTCATTTGGTGTTGTCGTTGGGACTTAAACATATATATGTAAACGAAGGAGAACATATAAAAAAAGGAAGGAATGCACCAAAGGGACTAGAATGATCACATTTAATAAGTATTAATACAAACAGGGAATGCCTAATCTTGAGTTTGGCACCAATGTTTAGCCTTAACCATAATTAATTGTTTAGTGGCTAGTTCAAGTTATGCCACATGTGGCGGCAGTATGCCGCAGCCCTTCGCACCTTCCGTTTATTATCACTTAAAGATAGTTTAGTAGTGTTGAGTATGACATCGCGGGCTTTGCGAAAGAGATTACTTTCGTTATGCTGTTCATTTACTGAATTTACAGCATACGTTGAAAATGACGAAAGGAGATTAAGAGTCTCGCAGCGACTCACTAAGTTTTGCGAGTGGAGCCCCTCGAGAACAAAGGCCAACAAAGTAGGGCTCAACAGCAGCTCTTTAACCACCAGTTTAGCTGGCGATTGTTTTTCCATGAACGCACTGAGGGCCTGTCTTAAGAGTTCAGTCTCCACCCCAACTCGGAGGCCTTGATGCAATCGCGCTAGAAAATTAGCTTCAGTTGCAGGTTGAACTTCAAGTGCCATCACTTTTAATAAACGTAAAACTCCCTTCCAGTAAACACGAAGCGACACAACAGCATCCATATCGATGAGGAAGTAGCAACTTAAGATATTCAGACTTTCCCTCGAGATTGCAGTTGGAAATTGAATAGGTGAAAATGATAACGTATCAAGTACTTCGTCCTTATTTGCCGATAACAATAAGTTACCTAAGGATGACGATATTATCGTCACGGTCGAGTCAGAGTCTTCAGTACTCAATGGCCTAAAACATATGCCCCATAGGATAGCAATGTGCACAGCAACATCCACCGATAGTTCACTAAGGAAGCTAATTAATTCATCATATTTCAGAGTTGAAGTGCTCACCACACCCGAAATACCGTTCATGGCAAGTATTTTTCCCAATGAATTCTGTGAAGATCGAATAAATTTGTCAAATCGGCGTATCAAACACTTAGTCTGTGCGTGGGAATTAGAAAAAGATGCAGAGGTATATGAGCACACCAATGCAGCTGCCACAATCAGAGGCAGCCGGTCAAGGTCCTTGCGAATTGTCTCACGGAACACCTCTGGTGTCCTTGTAAAGAGTGAAAAAATGCATTTAAAGTAATACAAAGATTTCCCCTCGTGTTCGGTTAGCTTCTTCAACAGATCCTTAGCCATATTATCACCTATGGTGTCAATAGAATCTAGAATGTGCAACACAACATCCGAGCGCTGTACTTCTGTTAGTTCTGTTTGCCAATTGTTTACTGGAGGAATCGTCTCAAAGAAGCATTCATTGATAACAAAAAGAGCGTGCTTCAAAGAAACGCGCGAAACCTCCTTCAGTAAAGAGAGTACCCTGTCAGTAGAAGCACCAAAAATAATTTTTTGGATAAGCTCCTCACGTATCATTTTCATTAAATCATCAGTCTCATGAGAAACAATACTACAAATCAACATGCTGGCTTTACTTGATGCTGCATCTGGTGAAGCAAGTAAAACAGAGGCGTGAAGAAGTGCATTCAATGCAAACTCGGCGTCGCTCCTTTGGATGCATGGAGCCAATTTCGCAGAAAGACTAAAAAAAGATGCGAGCAACTCGACTATGCAACTGGCATGGAATTCATCAGTAACTAAATTTGCCGTTATCTGATGGCCACAGTACCTTACCCGATCGAGAAGTCGCTCCAAAAGAATTGGCGCGATACGGTATCGGATATCTTCTGCCTCTGTGTCATCGTTGTGCACAAAGGTAGAAAAAGCATTGTCTAGTCCGGAACAGACAGCGGACAAAAGTAACCAAATGTTAGGGAGATCGTTCTTTTCTCCTTCAGCACAAAGCATTGTAAGGAGATGGGGTCCACAAGCCATGCTGCAAGACAGCGATCCTGTGAGAATGTGATATAACATGGTGGCGTAGACCGAACAGGAGGAATGCTCAGAATTGATAGAGCTAATAACACCTTCGTTAATGGGCGCAAAAATCTCTAAGGCTGACCGAGCGGTACCCCCTCCACATTTTTTGCTGATACTCTTCAGTAAACCCAAAGATAAAGAAATGAAGTTCTTTGTTGAGGGATTATCTTCATATTGGGGATAAATGCATGCCTTAATGATCTCATTCCGTGTATGTAATACCATATCAAAGAAATACTTCTTTTCAACATGGTTTGGACAAGTTTGAATGATTGTTTCCAGCGCTTCTATGGATTCTTGCCTTATTATCATAGAGGGAGATGACAATTTACTAATGAAAAAGGGGATAGAGTTGTTAACTAAAACTCGATCGGAAAGACAAGCCGACAAGGCATGTTGAAGGTCACTTTTAGTGATAGGGCACTTGGGCGGAGGCGTAAAGACGACTGGAAAGTACGCAGCCAAGCTATCAAAATAGCTCTGTGCAACCGATTGAATCTCTTCTTGTTTCGCATGAGTAAGCACTAACTTGCAAAACTGGAAGAAGTCGTTGACAAGTATTGGATCAGCTTCACCATCCATGGCCTCCAGCAATGTGTGAAGTTGCCCTGCATCGCATGACTCAATAGTACTCTTATTAATCATGAAGGAAATGACGGCAAAGCCATCCCTTCGTGATGTTAAACGAAGATTCTGCAGAGGTACTTTTGTTATAAATGAGTTTATTAGAGTGACAAATAATGCTATTGAGCACTTCTGGCTCGGAAGAAGGTCATCCACAATGACTCTCAAGCTATTTAATGCTGTTCCTGTGAGCTTGGGTTTTGTGGCTTTTTCGCAAAGGAAGTTAACAATAACACATAAGTCATCATCATGCAAAAGATCCCTTTTTATAGTAGCCTGAGCTAGCACATGAATTGCCGCAGCAGAGGTTTCCTCATTACATAAATGAGACTTCATTTCCTTGCACAAATCAAGAGGGGTCATTTTTCGTAATCTAGAAAGTTGTACTTCCGAAGACAACACACCTAGCCGCACTGCCTCCTCAATGGTAGAGAGCACATTTCCGTTAGGTAGCATCTTTGCGATCTTTATTTTACTTATAATGGTATTGGTAATAAACCTTCACAAATAATAATGAAATTATGAAAAGGGGTGAGTGAGTGGAGAGTTGACATCTGAATGTGTGGAAAAAATATTGTAAAGCGGCTTAATACAAAAAAAAAACATCCCTTACGCGATGGACAGTTTCTCACAGGTAATTTGAAGGCTGTTTTGGAATTCAGGATGCGTGTATTAGTGTATTAAACGCTAAATACGGTTGTTGCCCTGAAAGAACAGTCACGTGATGGGTTATAATAGGCTGAGTCACCACAGGAGATCCGTGAATATCGTTAAGCTGAATGAATGGTAGCGGTAATTCACCAACCTTTAAGGGAATCAGCTCAATTCGCTCCTCGGTATTATCTTGTGGGCAAACAGCAAGATTCCATCGAGTGCGACCACGCATACTAAAGCAGTCTGATCGTGTATCCACCAAAAGCTCGCCACGAAAAAGATCCTTTCCTGAGTTAAAGATGACTAATTTTAATATTATAGTGTACCCAAAGAGAATGGTCGAGGGATAAACATACTTTATCCTAATCTCAGAGTCTTCAATTATAATAGGTGGAAGCGAAAAATCTGCCACGAAATGAGAAGACGGTGAAGACTGAGGGGCAAACAAAATGCGGACGAATCCAGGCGAGAGAACGCCCTTTTTCCAGGCTCGTAGTTGAGCGAAAATCGAGACCGACTCCTCTTCATCCAAAACACATGGAAGCTCTCCATACGATAAGCTGTGAAGATGTAACTCCTCGCTACATATGATATCTGATTTTAAGACAGTAATTTTTTTCCCTGCTGTGCAGGTTAAATTGATAAGAAATGACACCATTTCACCCACAGAAGTCTTTAGCTGCGTTTTTGAAGAAGCATCTTCGCTACGTACAGTATAATAAAGTGCAGCATTCTTACTATACCATTCCGCTGTAGAAGTTGACGTCTGCAGCAGTTTGGTATCCTTTGGTTTCTCAAGAATATTTAAATCTCTTTGCTGGTATACAGAATTCATTGTTGGAAAATTCACTTCACCGGCATCAGAAGACCAAAGCGTGGAAGTGAAACAAGAATAGTCAACTGAAAATGGTGGGTTGATCACCAATACGGATACCCTTACAATTTTCATATCCATAAAATCTTTTGTAGAGTGACGAAATAAAATAGGAATTTGATACACACCGCTTCTTGAACATTTTCCACAAAGCAATAAAGACATAGTGTGACCTGGAAATAGATCATTAAGCGCATAGGTCGATTCATCCTTGGAACCAAGAATGCGCTCGCAGGGCATGATGTCATCATTTTCACCGGAAATAAAATAAAGAGCGCCTGAAAAAAAATCAGGCAAATAGAGAAAAGTGATGCTTACATTCGTCAATAAATTTTCCTTCCCTTCAATAGTAATAGGTATTCGAAAGTCTTCAGATTCCACAGCTTCTACACTAATAGCAGAAGACACATTGGCAAACGAAATAGGTTTTGTAACATTCAAAATAGGAGTATTAGCCAAAATAAATGACCTTTTTGACCTAGTATCACCACTGAATTCATGGAGTGTCCAAATGATGTCAAACTTAAAGACCCCCATTGAAACAGTGGCCCATAACTTGTTGCAAATAAATTTCCCATTCCGTGGAAATGTGATCTCAGCTTTTGCCTTTATCGACCCAGACGCTTCTACTTTGTAGGAACCAACCACAGAGGCTTCCAGTATCCCTGATTCGGCATCTAAACTGTTGATATTCTGTAAGGTTATCTGAATGTTAGTCAATATAATAGGCTGCACGGACGTAGTAAAAAATATTAAAATCAGTGGTGCTCTGCCATCAGATGCCTCTACAGAATTATGTTCAATTTGTGTGAGGACTGTAAAGGGTGGCTGAAAACTACCATGTGGGTAGTGCAAAGTGAGAACTGGTTGTTCCGAGAATTTTTCAAGCCTATTCCAAAACTCTATTTGCGATGATAAAGAAAGTGGACTTACAGAACCATTAATAAGGATATAATAAAGCAATTTATTATTCTTGGTGTCCATACAATGGTCATCGCACTTATCCAAAACCAGAGCGCAAAGAAAATCGGAAAGATAAAGAGAATTCAAATTTCTTTCAAGAAGGGTTTCAAGAAAGCTTAAATTGACTGTCTCATGTGCACACATCTCAAAATAGAGCTTCTCGTACTTTCGGTATTGGGGCGATGAGGTTGCGCTAGCTTCCTTTAATAAACCAGATATGTGAACTGACGACACCGATTGTCTAAACATTCCAAAAAAAGCATCAGCGTAGACGCTGGAAATGCATTCTGTTCCAATGTATAATGGAGAAGAAAGACGTGTTGTCTTTTCAGAAAAAAGCTGTGAAAAAGATTTGATTTGGTGCAAATTATTAGCAGCTGATATCAGAAAGTCGCTTCGCATCAATGGTTTTATGTCAAGCGTTTTTCTGGCTAGAATCCCACACCATTCAGCAACTAGAGCACTTTTTAGGGCTGACGCAAGTTTTCGGCAGCTGCTGTCATACTGGGAAGTAAAGGCGTGCCCAACCCAGTTAATGTGTGAGCTAATTGTCTCAAAAAGTTCAGATTCCACAGAGAGAACGTCCCCACATAGTGGGAGGACTGATACAATGTAGTGCAAGAAAAGGGATGTTACCATGCGCACATCTAAAGGTGGGAAGTTTGAAAAAAATGACCTTAATATTTTATAAGCTTTATGTAAGTTCTTCTTCACTTCCTCATATTCAAAACTAATCAGATAATGCCATGCTATTTGAAAATAGGTTCGGGCAATCGCCAGAACCGAATGCCGTTGTAGGGATAGTAACTTCTTCTTTTCTTTCAGCCTTATAATCTCATTTTTATGATGATTTAAAGCGGCGGCAACGAGAATCTTTCTGAGGGTAGACACTACAGAATGATTTGCAGGATTGTCAGAAATCGTAGTAAAAGCATATAAACGTTCACCAAGCTGATTTGTTGCCAACTGATGTAAACTATTGAAAAACTCTTTGTCAGGGTCATTTGTTGTCTCTTGAGTGATGCCGACAAGGACAATATATGAACGGATTAATCTATCATTGATTCCTTTCAAAAGATTATTTAGTTGTTCAAATGTAGCCCCGTGTCGGTCTTCAGATATTTCAATAGATAACAAAATGCACCCAAAATCTTGATATTGATGCTTGAAACACCATTTACTTTTCAACAGGCCGTTATTGGTTGTGTCGTGTAATTTTTGCTTTTTGGGCTTAATAACATCAAGGGAATCATAAAAGGTGAGATGAATTTGAAAATCCGAAGTCTCAGCTTGTTGAAAGCTTTGTTTGAGAAAAAGAGCCTTTTCTCCTACGATGCAAATGGAAGGAAGCGGATTTGTATTCAAGGATTCTTTGTAATTGTCATCACTAAAAAAGTTTGATATAAAAATCATCCTTAATGTAATAAATATTTTCCTATATAAATTAATAATTAAAATCTATAAATAAATATAACCATATTGTACAGTAACAAAAAAAAGAAAAAAGTAAGCTATAAAGAAAGCATTATTTTTCACATTAAAAAAGGTCCACGATAATAAATAATAATAACAATAATAATAAGATAAAAAAATGATTGAAAAAATAGTGAATTTAACCCAACAGGAATCAGTATTCATATACCAAATTCTAATCGAAAAATAATTGGATACTTATATATTGAAGAAAATAATTCTTTTTTAGATTAATGTCATTTCGATTAACTTGACAAATGAATGGCAATAGTTTGTTTCACCTCCTTAAGAAAATGGGGTACCACCATAAACGAAAAATTATAAATATGTATTAAAATATCAAGAAACTAAAATTAAAGCACTACATAGGAATTCAACACGCAAAATGAAAAATAATAAAAAGTATCATGATAAGAAATCACGTAGCGTATGGAAATATACCAAAATATTCTTTCTAATGCTACATTACCATTGTTTTCGATTATAGATATGTATTTGAAAGGTCTTGGAAATCAAAAAAAAGTGAAAAACAACTACGTCTATAATATATACATATATATATATATAATTGATAAGAAAACAATACATAGGGTAATGAAAATTTTTCACCAACTAAATTTTCCTAGTAGTAAAGTAACTTCAACATATTAATGAAATTCAAAATGTCATCCATAAAGGAAATAAGACAATTAACTTTTTATAGAGTGTTGTGTATGAATGGTGGTCTGAGAAATTTGGTAATGATGAAAAGGTAATTAATAAGGAAGCAAAAAATATTCATATTTCAGAACAAATAAAAATCTCATTGTTTAATATGAAGTATTAATTCAGAAAACAAATAAAACAACATAATAAAGAACACAATGAACATGAAGCATTGATTCTGGAGAGGTAAAAAAGGAATAAAGAAAAAAGACCCATAAATTGTGATTTTAAGCGCTTCATCCTTTTGAAATGATAAGATGATGGTAAGCATTTAGAAAGAAAAGTGAATTGTGTAACTATAGGAAAAAAAAATAACAGAGAAGTGATAAAAAAGTTCAAATCCATTTGACTATAATAAGTGGAGAGGTTTTATTGGGGCATGCTTTTGAGATTTTCGTAAGGAAGAGGAGGGGGGGTGACCGCATCACCGAAACCCTACGGGGTAGCTTTTTCCTTTGCCAAAGGGCGCAAAACCGCCACAACAACCAGCACCCCTAGATGTTTTAGAAGAAATAATAATAACAACCAACAAAAAAGTCGCAATGGGGTTGAATACAGGCCATCTGGTATTTCTTAGACGGGGGTTCGTCCAAAGGCGCCCATTGAAGAGAAAGCGATCCAAACCTTGGCCAACAACAACCGAAATAAGCCGTATTAAACCTATTTGTTTTACATTTAATGGAAATATTAATTAATACAATTCCAATTTAGTTAAATTACCTTAGAGTTGGTGAATTTTTTTGGAACATTATAAGGATCCCGCCCGGGGACGAAAAAGCGCGATGGCTATTAAAGCCCCACCACGACATATTTCTTCGCCATTGATCAGTTCGAAGGGGTAATCCGGCCGCAAAGTGAAAGTGCATGCGGCTTTGTTTTATCCAATTGCCCCCGTTTTTGGATATCCTTTTTGTTCAAAACACCATGCCAAAATACCATCCAACATTTTACGTGCTGGGTTCAAAGCTTTAATTTTTCTTCGCCGAGCCATTAAAAACGCCCACATTAGTTAAAAATGCCATCCCCGACAGAAGCATTATAAATACACCATTGAATAAGACATAAAATCAAAAAGTAGATACTGATTTTTGGATTTTGACATTACCATCCCCTATCATTGGGGGTATTCAAAATAGCCAACAAACAATTGCCAAATGGGTGGTGCGGATTCGCGGGGTGTATTCCCCATAAGGGTGAATTTTGGGGTGGGGCGGGAGCATTTATTGGCAAGAGATCCGTTCATATTTTGGTTTTAAATATCCATTGGATGCAATTAAAAGGGGCGAAAAAATGATTTACACCATGGACCCCTTGGATATCATTTTTGAATGGTGGGATTTAGCGGATGATATAAAATAAATATTAAGTTTTTTTCTTGGCCACCCCCAAAAATGAGCTTCCAAAAGGGCAATAGAGGTCAAACCCATTTATTTTGGTTTGATCATTTAATCCATCTTTATGAAATACAGAGTCACCGCCATTTAATTCAAAAAGTCCCCTTCACACAAACCACAACGAAAGCGATCTTAATTGACGGATTGGAAAATCCAGCAGCCGCGTGTCTTTAATTTTTCTGAGAAGTGTTTAGCTCTTTTTTAAAATAAAATTCCCATCGACTTGTTAAAAGAAATCCATCTACTAAAATTCCATTTCTCTGCACAGTTCCCATATTTATTGAATATTATACTTTCCCATAGGGAAAGAAATCTAAAAATAAAAATATCCAACCGAGTAAAAAGTGCTTTTTTGAGGTGCATGCAGACAATCCCTTTCATCACGCATTTCAAAACAACAACAGCGATTATGATTGAAAATTAAATTTTAAATATTTCAAAATTTCTTGACACGATGTTGAGAAAGTCTCTTCGAATGGCGGGTAAAAATTATATTTCAAAGACGGCAACATGGTTTAAATTTGGAAAACATCTTTTTCCCAAGAAAAGTAAAATTTAATTAAATAGACAATCTGAAAAATAGTCATTTTTATTAAAAACCATAATATCCAAACAACGCGTTAAAAGGTTTGAAAGAAAATTCGGAGAACGCCATCCCATTTAAATAAGGCTTTGAGGGGGGTAATTCTCGGAACGAAGTGGCGATTAAAACGCCATGCCCCCCCACAAATGGATATTTCCTAAACATCTTTAATATATAGGTCATGTGAATTTTTATTCTTCCCATCAGCATAAAAATGGATATTTTCCCTTCGATTTTGTTATCCATTAACTTTTTTCAGCTCAGAGAATCTTAAAATGAAGTTTAACCGATGTTTATCCCAGACCCGTCGCGAAGATACGGGGATGATACTTTGATATGCTTGACACCCTGTTAAAAAAAAAGAAAGTGTCAATAAAAATAAATAAAAATTTTTAGTTTTAAAGATGATCTTTTTCATTCCGGATTGATTATCTATTTTTTACGGTTTATGTAAAAAAATACAACTCGGCGGCGGAGCTTCCATAGAAAAGGAACCCGAAACGGAACAAGAAAGTTTCATAAACAGGCGCAATTCCGATATATCGCTTTTATTTTGGTAAACTTTAGTTGCGCATTGATAACTCAACAAAAGTTTGGGTGTGGGATTTTTACGCACCGGTGTGGAACACTTAGTTTTTATTTAAACTCATGAATTCGTCGGCCAAGATGAAAAAAAACACCGATAAGTTTCATGTTTAATTTGATTTACCTTTTATTTACCGACATAACGACCAAAAATTTCTTGGTTTTGCTTTTGCTTTTCAAATGGATTAATTTTTTATTTAAATAGCGTTATTGTTACCAACCAAAAATGTAAAATTTATTCCACCAACTTACCGATGTTTCCTTTTTTTATTAGCGTTTACTTGATAGAACTCGGGTTGTGGTGGACTTATTTTCGTTTGGGGGGACGGGGATGGCCACCGCTATGTCTAATTCCGGCCTCCGGCCGTTAAAGTTTTTCTTCTCAAACACCAAAATTAAGGCGGGTGGGTATAATTCGGTCCCGGGTTTTGGAATATGTTTTGGTGGGGGGTGGTATGGGGATTAAGATATGGATTTTGTTGGGGGTTAACGTTGGCGTCGGGGTTCATATCCAATATTGTTTTCATATGCGTTTTTCGATTCCATAATTGATGAGCTTGTTGTTTTTGTAAAGTGTTATGAAAAATATCTGGCTATCGATTGCGTCAGGCGCAAACACCGCCTATTTTATGTCGATTTTTGGAATCCCCCCATTATCATTCCACAGGGAATTAACATTGAATAACCCAGTTGCACCCTTAGAGTCGCATGGGTTTATCCTATTTTTTTATTAATATTTAATACGAAATATGCTTTAATGGAGGTATAAGATATCGTATTATGTTTTTTATTTCCAATCCACACTCAAACCAACTCAATTCGATTCCAATAAAGAGAAAACCAATGGGGAAAAAATATCTCAGGTTTATTTTTAATATTCAAAATTTTTAACATAACTCGAAGATAAAGCAATCAAGATCATGATATTATTTGATACCCATTTATGCTATTTTTATTTCATAGGTTGATAAATAAACGAAAGTTCCGCGGGGTTACAAATTTTTATCATTTTACCTCTTTCGAATTTTGAATTATATATTCTAAAAATAGGGCGCCGGGAACCATTTAGTTTCTAGAATTTGAAACTTGAAATCGGAAAGCATATTTTTTTAAGATGTATTGATTGAAATTTATTTTCACGCAGATTATTACTATAACAATGGCACGCTCCGTTGGGGGCAATCCCAAAAAAGGAGAGAATTTGATGAAAAACACGCGAAAAAAAATATATGGCATTTTTGACCCTTGGCTGGTGGTGTGGTTTTTTGGAAATGGCTGCGTTAAGGAAGACGAATGGATTTATGGAACTTTCACCAATAATAAATATCTTGCGGTGGGGGAAATAACCACCCCCCTCGAAGCACTCGCATCTAGGAGTGAATTTTTGTCAGCGATCCTCATCCAAACCGTTTGGTGAAGATACACCGAAGGCTTTTATATCGCACATTCATCGCCGGGTATGGATATTTGTCCTGGAAACGGGGTTTTTATTTTTTCTTTAAGATATTGTAACCCATAAACTTTTAAATCCATAAATAATAGCATCCCTTCTATTAATTTTTAAAATTACCATGTAAACCTTCAAATTTTGTGAAAACCACAAACGGGGTTATTTTGTTTTCTATCATTTGCATAACATTCGAAAATCCTCTTTTCTTTATTGGGATCGCAAAGCCCTATACCCCGGTTCCTTTATGGTCCGGAATAGACCCCGGATTTTTTGAGGTTGATATTTCAGCGGTCATATTTAATTTTAACGTTCTCTGTTTGTGTCCTTAAATTTTTTTTTATAGTCGACAACAAGAACCGTGAATAATATATTTTGATATCCGTTTTTCCAATAAAGGTTAAGGGTGGGCCGTTGATAGGGGGGGAATGGTGGGTTACTCAGAATTTACGATGAAATTTTGAATGGATAGGGGTCAGGCGGGTATTGATCTTTATTCCCCCACCACCAATTTAATTGGGGAACTTAGGTTCGGATCCGCTTAAAGGGGCGGCGCATCTCTTAGCGCCTTTTGGGGGGAATCCACCGACAAGCATTATTTTGGATTTGGTGGGGGTTTATAAAAATTTAAATTTGTTATAATTTATTAAATAATTTTCTATTTTTTTGAACTTGTTCTTTGATTATTTTCTACTTTTATCCATTCAACCCCTTTATTCTATTTGAATTATTTTGATTCTGTGATAACCCGCCTTTGTTTGCTTTATTCGTAGGCATGAATAACCCATAACAAAAATATTAAAAGTAAACTGGGGAAATGGCATAATTGGCACCCTCAAAAATGGGTGTGAATGTTATATTTTGAAGTCTTGTTTCTGGGGATCGCTTTTGGTTGAGTTTATTGACACGTTTTTCAAATCCCTTTGGTTGTTTCGCGCTTTTGATTCCAACCCTATGCCCCTTTTATCCTTGGCGCTTTCCAAAGATAATATGGGGGGGTATCTTCGCTTGAACAAAAGGATCTCGTGTTATTATATTCCTTATGGGTAATAAAATTGACGATGCTCTTTGTTATTCGGTGGGGTGGGCCTACCATGGGGGGTTCCATTTGTTTTTTCCCGGCCTCCAAATGGAACGAAAAGGGTTTCTATCCAAGTTCGACTTTTTGGAAAGTGCTATAAAGAATAGGAAACTCAATCTTGAAGATATCGCTATATTAATGGATTCCGACAAGGTTTTTGACATTAATTCATTCCTTGATCATTTCATTTGGAAGCCCACCGCGGTACCAGGGAAGCTGGATTCACTTTTCCTTCGATGGAACCGATCGTGCCTAGCTCTGGGGCTGGCCGTTGGGAACCGAACATGCCCAAGGGTTGGCCTGAATGCATCGCTGGATTTGACGCGGTTTAAGAAAAAGTTCAGAGGCATACCACCGCAAACCCGGAGCATAATTTTGTTTTTTCTTCAGGTTTATCATAAAAACGGTATATAAACGCTGGTGTTGTGATTGCTTTTGTGTGGGCGTGAAGGGGGTTATTTTGGAAGGCTTATAATTTAACTCAAACAAAATCCAAAAGATATAAACCCAAAAAGATATGGAAATTTGATAGGTCTGTTTTAACAGCGCTGAGCTTAATATCTTAACTTTGGGGGTTGAACAGGATGTTTTTTCGTTTCCATCGGATGGGTGGCGGGCGGGGAGGTCCTCTTACGGTGTGCGCGCAGGTTTCATCATCCTCATGTCACCACTTTTGGCGACTGATTTTAGGCCTATGGATGAAATTAACAACGACGTGCGTCGTACATTTCCTGTGATTTTTCATGCGGCAGGTCATGGGGTAGGCCTCACGAAGCTTGGTAAGTTGGGGAATGGCGCTTTGGGGGCGCAGTGGCTCGTGCCAATGCCGAAAAACCCCAACTTGGAAAGGAAGACCATGGAATACCTGGCATCCATTCTGTTTTTTGACCAATAACTCCATCATCCGGAATTTCTACCATGCAAAATGCGGTTTCCCAGTTAGAGGAACTATTGGGGGTTTGCCATGTACCTGAACCATTTTGCCGATATACACTTCGACATTTTATTTCAATGCCCTATCGATCCATTTGGGGTTATCTTATCAAGGATGGTGCGCCAATCGGGTTATGCTATCCGAAATGCTTTCCCGAGTAAGGCTCATGAAGATAAAATTCACGACGGATGAAGGCTTTGGTTTGCCATTCCGCTGTTCGTGTATAAATACGGGATCCTACCCTAGGGTTAAGGTGATATATGTATATTTTTTCAATCCCACTAGTTCTATTACCCTCATATGAGTGGGTATCTTTGGAGGATGCCATCCAAATTTTTGAATGTGGGTGTAATTTTTATCCCTGTTTGGCGTAACAAAAGTATATTGATTTTTTAATGCAAGTGTCGCATATGGATGGATAAATATTGCCTCAAATATATGATGAAAATCAAATTTTAGATATAATAATGTTAATTCCAAGTTGATATGTAAATGTTTTTTTTACATATTTTTAATTTTATTTGAAGGCAATGACAGCGCCAAGGAAGTTTCTTTTTGTATAGGTACGTACCCAAGGTATGCTTTTTCGCTTTATAAATTCTCTTTAATCAGGGTGGGATGCCGGTGTAACATCTGGCATTTGTTTGAGAGGGACGCCTGTTTATACTTTTCTAGCGTTCTTGTGTACTTTTTCTTTTATTTTTTAGCTTAACAGGTCATTTCTCGTTAGTTTTGGATTGGGGTTAGGGTGGAGTGTGTCAAGGGGTCGTGGGTTTTAGATATTTAATTTGAGTTTCGCTTCTAAGCATTTTACCCTAAGCTTATCTTGTTCACAAATCCGTACCTTGACCATTTTCACACCCTACCTCTACACACCCCACCAAAAGCTTTTTACAATCACAATCTAGCTGTTTCGAATGTTTTAGCTGGGTCGTGACAGTGTTGCACATTTTCTACCTTTTAAAAAAGTACTTGGTATAGATGTCCTGCCCCCGAGTCGTTAAAGAATGCTCTTGACAGAGAAGTTTAGCTTGCTATGAAAGACCAAAAGCCTCGAATTGCCTCGGCCATTGGAACAAAGCACTTCCAGCTTCTGAAACGGTAGGTTTCAATTACTCGCATCGCTGGCCCAGGATCGTCTCAATGCGCGAAAACATTTGTTCCGTTGCGGTGGGACAGACCCTTGATAGCAGTCCAATACTATGAGCGCAGCTGGCTTTGGGTTGGCGGGCTGACGGGATTTTGCTAAAAGATCGTATTCCCCACCGCGAAAGTTACCGCATTATATGAGGTCTTTATGACCCCATTGCTTTAATTTAATTGAGTGTCCTTCTCACAAAAATATGAGATTACGGGGTCGCCAGCCGCTTCGGTGGGTTGTTCTATGAAGATCATAAAAGAACCTTTATCATGAGGCACTTCTAGCGATTTATTCACCACGTTTGCCGGTTGGCCCATAGATTCACACACTGCTTTTATCACATAAAACCACGCGGTCGACATATGGGGTAAAAAGATTATTTTCACCTATTTTGTACCCCTTCACCCCCCCCAAAATGTAAACGTCTATCTTAGTACGAGCTTCAGAATCTACAAAAAAAAGTCAATAATACCGAACCATCGCGTTAATATTATCAATCCCCTCCCCATTCCATTCAATGGCTCCAAACAAAAACCATAATTTGGGAAGTGTGCAGTATTCAAATCTATTTAAGTTAAATCAAATGATTCAAATCCGTTTCTGAAATATT